CAAATAATTTGATATGGGCAAATGCCTGGCCCTCTTTGAAATTCACATCTGCCCCATGACCCAAGGCCACTCGTGGCAATGTGGCAGAGTGGCTGACGTGGCGAACTCACATGCTGCTCTGTCATGGTTCGACTCCCGCTGGGGGTGATCTTGTCCTGCCTGGATGAGAACAACTTTTGGGAATGCAAGGCTCTGTGAAAGTGAATGGAAACGTCAGCTCTACTCAACTGATTGTGGGAAAATTCTTCTTCTACCTTCATCCTTCATCACCTTAAACCATCACTTTGACACGAATCAGTTCCAGCTCTGATGATGTGCGTGATTTGATGGAGGAAATCTCAGCCCGCTTTTAACCAAAACAGGAGAGGATGTCTCGTTGACTGCGCCAACATGAACGTCATATTAACGCAAATCAGCAGTCGTCTTTTGGTGCGCTCAACCAAAAAATGTCTTCTTCATGCACTTGCATACAAAATGAAATTCTCCCCAATATTGAAGTGGGTTGACATCATTGTCGCAACTTGGTATTGTTGTCAGGGCGACTTGGTAGAAGCCACCTAGTCTGAAGTCGTCTGTGAGAGTAGTTGTCATCACTTCTCAGCATCAGACGGTCTCTTTGACGAGTTCATAGCTTGGTGCGGAGAATGACAAAACTGACTGAAGATGTCGACTACGATGCCAGCGAAACGTCTGAGAATGTACCAAGTCCACTGTCTAATGCTGGGAATCATGACAACCAATCTGGCAGACGACTTCGGACGAGATGCGTTCTACATAGTCGCCCTGACGACAAGACCAAGTTGCGACAACGAGGTCAACCCACTTCGAAAGGAGACTGCGACCATAACAGAGGCCACAACATCTTGGTCTTCATATATATACAATGAAGCAAAGTTATATTTACTATAGCATTACTTATTCTTCGTTTATCTGTAGCGTTTTGATTTGTCCGGTCTAGACAGGCCCAAACGCATTTCGTCGCCTGGTTGGCAGCCATTTGCCACTCGTGATCTGGCCTTGATGCTGTAAAATCCTCATCTATTCTCTCCTTCCTATTCTGTCTTGTGATCAGATACCGCAACAGCCCTCCCCGCCGCGCCTCATCTCGGAGACGGCCCGTCGGAAGGCCAGTTCAATGGATCCGATGGAGTACTACCCGATGGCTAGTCCGAGACGAGGAATCTGCCTGCTGATCAACAATATGACGTTCTGGGACGATGACGACAAGCTATCCGTAGGTTCGGCTGAGAACCCTCATACTCAGCAGGGCAGCAGCCTGTTTTACGATCTGTATCAACGGTCATTTCGGCGTATTGCCTTCACGTCTAGGGCGTCTGAGAAGGGAGACAGGTTTTGAGGCCTAGACAGGAATGCTCACAACTCTGCATGGGTCACAACAACAAGTCAACTGTAGGAGGACCATGCCGAGAGGTCATTTGCTGCGAAACCCTCTCGATGGACGTTATTCTTGGCCTGCAAGCAGAAGTTCGGTCAGGTTACAATTGTGTTGAGAAGAAGCACGTGAACTGTCTCTAAGTTACAAAAAAAACACTTGCCCTCTACAACTGTCAAGATGGAGGCCCCGAAACGAAGAGAGAAAAGGAACAAATGGTACTACCGATTGTACCATTTTGAGCGGCCGAAGTGGGGACTGACAATAAAAAGACAATCATTTTAAGATGGTGCCGAATAGAACATTATAAACCCCGCTGATCACGACGGAGCGGACGAAGAGAAGCAAAAGAACGTGACCAATTTATGAGAATGTTGGCTACTTGATGTACCCTTGCTTGGGCGACGCGAAATAAAGTGTCAAGATTAGGCCTCACTCACGTGATCTCTGCGCCAAAGGATGTTGAGATGTATTCACCCAATTTCGTTTAAGGTGATGCAGGACTGATAGAATAAGAATTTTCCCACAATCGTATGAGTTGAGCTGACGATTCCATTGAGTTGCACATTGCCTTGATTTCCCAAAATTTGTTCTCATCCAGGGTGGACTTCAGGTTCGACATGGCATCGGTCTTATCAACACCCCAGCATGTGAGCTTGATACATCAACCACTCGGCCACATCGTCACGAGTGCCCTTGAGCCACAGGGCAAATGTGAATTTCAAGGAAGGTCAGGCGTCTTTTCTATATCATATTCTTTGTTGAGAGTGCCGATGAAGCAAACGTATATTTGCTATAGCAATCGACTACGTTACTTATTTTCGTACGAGAGTAGTGTTTCGAGGCTACCAGTAAATAAGTCACGGTTCGACTCCCGCTGGGGGTGTTGATAAGACCAATGCGAGGTCAAAACTACAGTCCACTCCAACCGGGATGAGAACAATTTTTGGGAAAGCAAGGCTATGTGAAATTCAATGGAAACGTCAGCTCAACTCATATCGTTGTGGGAAAATTCTACTACCCGTCCTTCATCACCTTAAACGGAATTGGGTGAATACATCTCATACTACTGATTTACTGGTAGTCGCGAAACATTACTTTCAAAGGATGTTGAGCCATGGCTACGTATGGATGTAATAAAAAGTAAACATTTAATGGGAAATTTGTGGCGATAGGTCGCTACAGGTTTCTTTGTACATGATTAGGTG